GGCGCAGAGGCAGAGGCAGAGGCAGAGGCAGAGGCAGGAGGATCTCTGTGAGTTTGAGGCCAGCCTGGTCTGCAGAGCTAGTGCCAGGATAGGCTCCAAAGCCACAGAGAAACCCTGTCTCAAAAAGCCAAAAAAAAGGGGGTCAGGTGGGAATGTTACATATTCAGTGAAGTCCAATTCCTAGAGACACACATTCACAGATGACTCTTGGGTTCTTCATGCTGTAGGATATGTGCAGGGCAGCATACAAGCTAGTTGCTGAGTTTGGTAAATTTCCAGATTCTGATTTTATAGGTATGGAGCGAGGAGGCCTGAAACTGTGCCTAGTAGGTGTTTGGTAACTGGAGCTTCTGGTCCTCACACAGTCGGTGTATGGCACATAATGGGTGATGGATAATATACATCCTCCTCTTTCCCTGGTAACTGGAGCTGCTGGTCCTCACACAGACAGTGCGTGGTATATAATGGGTGATGGACAATGTACATCCTCTTTCCTTACCTTATATCTATACTATAATTGATTTGGGGGTTTGAAAAGGGAAAGTCGATGATTTTATATTGTCCTATGCTTTGACAAGTTAAAAATTTTAAAAAGAGAACAAAATGGCTGGCATGGTAGCACATGCCTATAATCCCAGCACTTGGAAGGCTGAGGCAGGAATATCATGAGTTTGAGGCCATCTCAGGTTACAAAGTAAGTTTTAGGCTTCTATAGGAGATATGTTAGACCCTAACTTAATAAACAGATACATACATATACACATACATATAAACATATTCACATACATGCATACATATAAACACATACATACATACACACACATGCATACACATGCATGCACACATAATACATACATGCACATATACACATGCATGGACATACATACATCCTACATGCACACACACAAACACGCAGGAATGAGAGGGGCAAAGTTGTGTACCTGTGCAGAGGAACCAACATAAAGGTCAAGCAATAAAGGAGCTATGCAAGCCTGAGGGGACAGCAGAGGACAGGGACAGGTCTGATCACACATTTAGGAAAGAATTCTGGACAATGGGAGAAGACACAATTGTTGGAACATGAGTATAAACAAAGACAAATGTTCCATGGAAAGAGAAAAGGGTCAAACCAGTAGAAGCCCTGTGCCTTGGGTGTGGGTGACCTGCATGTCCTTTGGAACTAAAGCCTTGAGAAAGACTCACCCTACCCCTTTGAAGGATATACTCTAGGAGAAGCAAGGAGTGGAACCTGGGCAGCACTAGAAAGCTAGCAAGACCCTTTAAAAAGGTAGAGCACAGACTATGCCCATGCCTAGAATATCCTGGGATTGGAAGACAGCCAGGGATGTAGGAATTTCAAGGTCATGCATGTGACTGGGAAACACTGGCTTATTTGTCTCACTGGACTCGAGAACAGAATGTGCCAAGAAATCTATCAAGGGACATTTCCTGCCTACAGGAAATCAATAGACTGGGCATGGTAGAGCACACTTGTAACCTCTGCACTCAAGAGATGGAGGCAGGTGGATAGTGAGTTTGAGGCTAGCCTGGGCTATAGATAGTAAGATCACATCTCAAAACTAAGAGTTTGAAAACAGAAATCACGTTGAGTGACAGTCCCCAGGATGGGTGGTATAAAACACTGAACGATGAGCCATGCCCTCCTCAGGGGCTTTCATCACCAATGGGAGATGTCCAGGTGCCCCCAGTGCCATAACCAACACCCAGGGCTGGGCCCAGACCTCAGATAAAGAGACAGGTGGCCAGTGTTTCTCAGGGTATGCTGCTGAGGCATGTACAAGTGTCACTGCACATATTATCACAAGTCGTAACATTTTTATCAGTCACCATAAAATGTTTTATAATACTAACTTGAAGTAGATATCAAAGTCACTACAGTTTAATGGTAAACTGCCAGTATCCATTCCCAAAGCAGGCTGAGGCCAACAATCCAGGCAAGTGTCTGCTGGACATAATGAGGGTCACATGGATAAATGGGGAGGGAAAAGAGGTCTCGGGCACCTGGAAAAATTCTGGTTATTTTTAAGACTCCCCACAAACAAATAGACTCAACTATTTTCTCACTGTAAGAGCTTAGAGAATAAATGGATTCAGGGTATATAACCCAGAACACATGCAATCTACCTTTCAGAATGACATCTAGTCTCCTGAGCACAAAAACAGAAGGATCTAGAACCTAACACTCAGGAGGCAGAGGTCTATAGAGGACAGCCAGGGCTACATCAAGAGACCTTGTCAAAAAAGAAAAAAGAAAGAAATAAAAAAAAAGAAAGAAAAGGAAAAGAAATAAAGAAAGAGAAGAAAGAAAGAAAAAGAAAAAGTGGTCCATACAGTAGGAAATAGCAATTGGGGTGGGAGAGTCTTAACACACAGGGAATAAAATCATGTCTACTTCCAACCTGGTAAACTTACATATTTACCATTCACACATTACCTGTACAACAGGGGCAAAGCTACCCGGAACTGTCTTGATTGCTATTATTCTTTTTATACTCTACCATATCCTGTATCACAAATTTTATTTCATAATTTTGAAGGTAACTTCCATCTCGAAAAATGCCAGGGCAAGCAACTCTAAAATGGCTCAAACTATTCTTCAGAAGGGACTGGATCATGCCTGCCACACCATCAGCAGCACCGACCACCTTGAGCTTTGCAAGTAAGACTCTCCTCATGGCAGGCGACTTCTGAGGCTGGCCTTTGTCCCTAGTCTGCACTACATTGGAAGTCTCCTGACTCTTATACTGTCTCTTGCTCACTGTAGTCTCAATGGCTTCCCCCAATCATCTGTCTCTCCTGTGCTGCGATTGCTAGCTTCCTAGCAGTTACCCACCACAGCCTAGGAACACACCTGCCCGACAGCTCCCTTCCTGTGTACTTTGCAAACCTAATGTTGGACTTTCCTCTTTTTTTCCTTTAATAATTTGGGCACACCCACTTACAAACTGTTCCTAAAACACCATGGATCTGTGGCTCCCCAAGACTCTAAATGGGCCCTAAATGATTCCCTCACCACCCCCAGACATCCTTCTTACACTCACTCCATCCCTCCATCTGCACAGTCTCTCTAAACCCCCCTCCAATTCCAGTATTTCCAAGAAACACTCCTGAGTGTCTTGGATTCTCCTTGAGGCGAGGACTCTGCTCCGTGCCTCCCACAGCATGCTCACGGCACAGGCGGAGCTGTGCACAGGTGTTTATTTCTTCCCCTAGAATTTGAGATTGGGAAAGCACTGTGCAGGGCTTACTCTCTGTTTTTCTCACGCACCCAGCCAGGCCTTAAGCATACAGTGGAGAGGGGAGGAAGCTGTCAGCAGGCCCGGCCCCACCCAGTCACCTTTCTCCACTTCAGGATACTTACGGTTTCCACAGTTGAGACCACCAAGGCCGAATGGGCAACTGTAAGTCAAGAAAGACAAAAGACGACTCAGGTTCAAATCTCAAAAGCTATAAGGGGGCGATGGATGGGAGAAAATTTTTTTTACTTAGGATAGGTTCTTTATTAGGACGGTCTGTCTTTGTTTTGTTTGTTTTTGTTTTTCTGTGTTGCCCTGGCCTTCCTGGAACTCACTCTGTAGACCAGGCTGACCTAGAACTCTGAGATCCACCTGCCTCTGCCTCCCACGTGCTGGGATTAAAGGAGTGTGCCACCACTATCTGCCTGGATGGTCTGTCTTTTAGGGTAGTTTTTAAAAACCATTTTTAACAAGTTGATCCCAAAAAGCGAATAGGAAACCCACCTCATACAGGTTTCATTTTCTAGCCTATATCCATCTTCACACGCTGAAAGAGAAAAGGAAAAGCCATGAGGGTCCACGGGATCAGAGCTCACATTTATTAAACACCAGCCCACAAGAATATTCTAGAAGCAAACACAAGTTTTTAAGTTATCTATATCCTGACCAGAACACTGTTGTCATCTCAACTCTTCAAGTGATCAAGAAACTTTTCTTGACCTCCTTGTGGCTCAGTTTCCCATCAGTAAAGAGAGGATTATGAGAAAATAGTAATAATAATGGTTTCTCAGAGGAGGTGATACACCTTAGCCCTCTTCCATGAGGAGGAAGAAGTTGTGGGTGACACCCTCTGGAACCCAGTCCTGGTTGATGCCCAGGTTTTCATAAGTGAATGCTTACCCTATAATCTGTGCCAGAGAGTCTAGACATTTCTAGAAGTGCCCTAATTTTCACCTGACCGTAACATAGCTTTGACCCTTCTGGGACCACTGAATAGGCTAAGGCCCAGCTCTTCACCTGGCTCGGTAACTCTCAAGCTTGTTTGATCACAGGATACGTTCAATATTACAATAACTCAACCAAACATCACGAATGGTAACTCTTGCCTGGATCAAAGCAGACAATGAAAAATGGCCCTGCACACAAATTCCTTGATGCAAGGAATGATAAAAATTTGATTCATGATAATGCCTAATACACATCGAATAAGAGATCATACTAAAAAAAAAATAAAATCACAGAATGTAGAGCTGCCAGCAGGGATCAGACACAGTAGTGGGGAGTTGTGAGTGGCCAGGGCAAGCAAGGGCTGGGGATGGGGTGGCAGGTACACACCCTGCAGGCTGGGACAGGAGGCCTCCATGTTCTGCCATGAATTTGTACATAACAGTATCATCTGTGTAGAAGTGCTTAATATTTTTCTTCTTTATGTCTTAATGCTAGAAGCTAAATATTCCTAGCATTCATTTTACTGTCATACACCATCTATTAATTGCAACAGTTTTGTGGAATACAGTTTGACAAACACTATTCCAAATCACCTGAAATTGGTCTCATCACAGATCATTAAAGAGTCTCGAACACACAATGGGCTCTGAAGACGCACTTCCTGAGCTACAGACTCACACACTCCGGGCTGTTTACCTTAAGCAGCAGCCACAAGAGATCCCCAAAGAACCATCTATTGCAGGATGCCATGGACCGCAATGCTACAATACCACAGTAACCTCTTAGTGAGCATGTCCAGAGAAACTTCTTGTGGGTCTCAATGCCCAAATGATAGGGTGTCTCCTGGACCACAAGCGTGCTTTGCTTTATGGGCTCTGCCTCCTTTCAAAGTCATCATCTTGCTGGTTCCGAATTAGTATCTGAGCTTAGACCTTCGATGTACGGCTTACCTTAGCAGATACACGCTTTAGCTTTCTGCATGTTCACTTTCCTTCCAGCCTCAACAAAGCAACCAGATTTCCTTCAACCTGACTTACGCCCTAAATATGTACAAGTCAGCTCTTTTCTGCTCTTTGCTGTCTTTCAACTCACAGCTCTCCTGCTTCAGCTTCCCAAAGCTGAGGTCACTGGCATGTGACACTATGCCCATTATCTTTCCTTTTTTTTTTCCCTTCCATGCCATACCTAACCAGCCAAATCTGTGATCTTATAATAATAATAAAAAACCATCACTTTCGCAGATTGTGGTGATGCATGCTTTTAATCCCAGCATTTGGGAGGCAGAAGCAGGTCTTTGTGAGTTTGAGGTTAGCCTGAGCTATAGGAGTTCCAGGCCAGCCAGAGCTACATAGTGAGACCCTATCTTGAACAGAAAACCACTTTATTATTATAATGAATTCACAAACAAAAACATCACTCATCTATCCACACAAATACACACTTATCCTGTCCCAAATTCTATACGTTTCAACAAACTTCTATACAGTTAGAATGACTATGCTAAAGCCATAGAGCTTCACTTAGGGTTTTTGTTGTTTTGTTTGTTTGAGACAGGGTTTCTCTCTGTAGCTCTGGCTGTCCTGGAACTCGCTCTGAAGACCAGGCTGGTCTCAAACTCGGAAATCCACTTGCTTCTGCCTCCCAAGTGCTGGGACAAGAGGCGTTCGCCACCACCACCTAGCTTCACTCAGGGTGCTACACTTTAACTCTCAATTGCATTTTTTATCCACCACATTTGTGTTATCCATCACAAAAAAAACCACCTTACAACACAGTTGAAACTAGAAAAATAATTAGCTTTATATTCTTTTTCAAGACTCATGTCCTTTTGCCTTCATTCGGATCTCTTCATTATCTGGTATTAGCCTTACTAGGTCTCCTTTCTAAATGTTACACTGTACCCACACTTAAAGGCTGTTTGCATATATACATGTCTACATTACAGGTCAGGGTCTGCACATAAGGGAGAACATGTGGTTTTATTTTCTTTTCTCTCAGAACTCAGATGAGCTTGCTTAATATTATACCTTCTGGTTCCCTGTATTTTCTGAAAATTATTTCACACTCTCTATATTTCTTTACAGCTGAATAATACTCCATTTCATTTTGTATATGTGCTACATTTTCACTACTTATCTGTTGATGGACATCAAAGTCGGTTTCGTTTCCTTGCTATCATAAACAGAGCAGCAATAAACATGGTATGTAAATACCTTTCTGGTAGGGCATGGGGTTCTCTGGGTAGATACTAGGGTGATACAGCTGACTTACGTAGTTCTATTTTTAATCTTTTAAGAATCTTCCAAACTGACTTCCATGCTGATGTATTGATTTGCACCCCCATCGGCAGCGAACAGGGGCTCCTGTCCCCACATCCTCTGACATCTGTTGTCAGATCTGCTGATGTGCATTCCCAGCGGGGTGCGGTGCTATCTCAAAGTAGCTTTGATTTGCTTTGCCCTGATGACCAGGGATGTTGAGCACTATTGAAAAATAGTTACTGCTCTTTGTGTTTCTTCTTTTGTAAATTACTTGTTAATTTCATTCTCCCTGGCCAGTCAGTGCGCATTTCGAGCATTTATTTACTTATTTAATTTTTATGTGTGAGTGCCCTGCTTGCATGCCATGGGCACAAACAGAGGTTAGAGAACAAGTCAGCTCTTTTCTGCTATTTTGAGGGGATGTGGGAATTGAATTCAGGCCCATGTCTCTGTCCACTTAGTCATCCTGAGGGCCCCCTTTTAATATCTAAAAATTTTGTTTCTTTATATGAATTTTTTTCCTTTTTTTTTGTTTTGTTTTTGAGACAGGGTTTCTCTGTGTACCCTGGCTGGTTTTGGAACTCACTCTGTAGACCAGGCTGGCTTCTAACTCAGAGATCCACCTGCTAGGATTCAAGGTATCTGTCTCTACCATCTGGCTCATTATATGGATTTTCAATAGGTGTTTCAAATCCTCTATTTAACGAGAGAGTGTAATCGTATCCTATTCTGAGAGGAGATGAGGCTGTATCCCCCTTCTTTGACACCTTGAGTCTCTGCCGACCTTAGGAACGCAAGGCCTCCTCTATGGAACAGAGGGCACCTGCCTTTTCCTGGCCCGGGTAGAAAGCATCACTTCCTCTCTCATGCTTCCCCTCCTACCCTGTGGCTCTGTCATGCTACAGTGGTGCTGTGGGAGTGAGGGAAGCCCCTGAGGGACAATTTCTGGCTCACACCACAAGAACACTCCGTGGGGAAAGCTCACCTCTCCACCTCAGCACTGAGGTGGGCTGATGTCACCAGTATATTCTATTCTGAACACTTCTTCCTGAAAACACTGTTACATCCATCTACACACCCAACCCTCATCTGCTGGGTGGGAGCTCTCCACTCCTCGCTGTCATCCAGCCATGTGCAAGGGCCATCTGTTGTCCTGCCTGTGAGCTCCAGCTGGTGGCTTGTGCTATTTTCATTTAGCATCAAAGGTATCCTGACTCCCTGATGTACAACATTTCTCTAATCAAGAGGGCATGAGACGGCGAGGTCGCTCAGTGGGCAAAGAAAGACATTTGCCACCAAGCATGATGACCTGAGTTTAAGCCCCAGGACCCACATGGTGGAAAGGGAAGTGATTCCATCAAGTTGTCCTCTGATCACCACATGTACTTACAACAAACAAATGAACAAATATACACACATGAAATATTTTTTTAAAGGGTGTATCCACCATTTGTCAAAGACTGAGTGTTCCTGTGTACCTGGTGTTGCTCTCGGGACTCTCAGGGAAAACCTTGCTGGTAAAGACACTCCCAGTTCCTCACATATCCCAGAGGGACTCTGACCCCAGAGCACTAGAGACAGAACGAATGTGGCAAGAATTTGCATATATGGCCTCAATGGGTTTCTCCTACTGGTAAGGTTTCAAAATCAAGTTTAAAGTACATGGCGGAAGCTTAACCCCTTTGCAGGACACTAAGTCCAGACATCCCAGTCCTAAGACACATTTGTTGCCCTATGGTCACTTCAATAGACACTTGAACCCTACTTACAACATTCTTAAGCCCTATCCTAGATACAATCCTAAAGTGGTTGTCATTAAAGAGATGAAGACTGTTAGAATCTAGGCTGCAGAGACAGCTCAGTGACTAAGAGCACTTACTGCTATGCCAAGAGACAGGCGGTTGGCTCCCAACCACCTGTAACTCTCACTTTGGAGGATATGATGCCCTCTACTGGACTCCTAGACTACTTGCACATGTGTAGCACATAAACAACACATAAAATTAAAATAAAAATTTTAGCCAGGCTGTGGTGGCTCCCGGCTTTAATCCCAGCACCTGGGAGGCAGAGGCAGTAGGATCTCTGTGAGTTCAAGGCCAGCCTGGCCTACAGAACAAGTTCCAGGACAGGCTCCAAAGCTACACAGAGAAACCCTGTCTCTAAAATCCACCCACCCAAACCAAACCAAACCAAAATAAATAAATAAATCCATAAATAAATGACTAATAAAAAATAAAATTTTGTCAGGTGTGATGGTGCATGCCTTTAATTCCAGCACTAAGGGGGCAGAGGCAGGAGGATCTCTGTTCAAGGCCCACCAGGACTACAGAGTGAGACCCTGTTTTAAAAAACAAATCACACCCCCCCCCAAAAAAACCCCAAACCTTTAAAAATGCTAGTCTCAATCTAGTCATAAGGGGTAAATAGGTTCCTAGAATTGATGCCTGTATGCTGGAAGGAAACTAAGAAGCCCAGGAAGGACACATTTTAATTTTAAATGTCTGTGCTAGCATGAATGACCAGAAGATGTCACTGCTAACCCATATGACAGAGCTAGAGTCCACAAAACTTCCAGTATCCATTCATTAGAGACCTATGGCCACTGCTTGAGACAGGGCCTCACCGGTGTTCAACAACAAGGCCCAAGGCTAGTCAGGGTCTTCCCATGCTGTTTCTTGGTCATTACCAGTTAAACATAAGGTTGGTGGCACCTGTGTCACTTAAAGCACACATACTGAAAATGACAACCTAAAAAGGATCATGGTGACATATGCCTGGAATCTTTGGGAAGCTGAGACAGGAAGATCGTGAGCTCGAGGACAGCGGAGCTACCTAAAATGCTGTCATTCAAGCTATCGGTTGCCAAGTTTTTATGTGGCATACACGCATGCCTCTTACTGTCGCACACAGACATCACTATACTGTCTTTGCCATACTTTCAAAGCTACATATAAAACTGAAGCAGATGACCTTCTTACAGAGGCTTACCCAATGCCACCTCTGACCAAGGTTGCCTGTAAGTGACAGTTAGGACATTGCTGACTTGGAGTAGAAAGAAGTGACCCAAGCCAGTCAGGAGCAAGGGTGGTAGCCAGGGCCATTCTTGAAGTAGTGTTCACGAGGCCAGCTCCTCTGCACACCCTGGTCCTGCTCATCTTTATCACAGGTCCATAGCACACAGCACAACACCACAACACACCAACTTCAACACCACCACTTTCCCAATGCAGCTGAGCTCCAGCCCCCACCTCTAAGAAGGGCAGAAAAGCAGATAAGAAGGGGTTAGGAGCATTGTCTTTGAGGCAAAGCAACAGTTTTGGCATGGCCATGCGATGCTGGGGACCAATCACATCAGTTCTGAAGCTCAACTCGGAGAGTGGGTGTTCCTATCGGAAAGTGGGTGAGCCTTCCACATGGGACCTCAAAAGAATTTTCTATCTGAATCTAACACCGTCAGAAGGTCGAAGGTTCAAGATGAATGTGCTGCCTGAAACATGTTTCTATACTCTTTTGATGAAATGAGTCCTCTAAGGAAAGTCCTGACCCAAGTGGCATGTCACCTTGCCCTTGTATGTGATTTTTATCTAGAATCCCAGTACGTCTGCCACCAGCAAGGTGTTGACTGAGTAGGAAATCTGTGCTGTGACACTGTGACTCTGAAAAAGTAGCCTCTGTATTGCCAGCCTGGCTGATCATCACAGACTGTGGAGCCAGGGAACTCGGCACTCTGGACCGGAATAAAATTGATTTCAAGGCAAACTTTTTGGACCACACTCATTGAGTGTGGACTTCATCTTCAATGGAGTGAATCTCTTCAGCTTCTAAAAGACTGGCAGAATGGGGCTGGAGAGATGGCTCAGAGGTGAAGAGCACCAGCTGCTCTTCCAGAGGTCCTGAGTTCAACTCCCAGCAACCACATGGTGGCTCACAACCATCTACAGTGGGATCTGATGCCCTCTTCTGGGATGCAGGTGTACATGCAGAGCACTCATACATAAAATACAAACAAACAAACATTATAAAAAGGCTGGCAGAATTAGATTTCTAGTCTCCAACACACCAAGAAATCTTTTAAATAACAATCCATCAAGACAACAACAACCTAGATAAATACAAGAGCAAGTCCCCAAGGGTTACAAAGCACAGCTTTAGACACAGCTTTCTGTTATTCTCAGGATGAAGTGTCACCACATTCATTTCAAAGAAGAGGAAACTGAGGCTCAGAGAAACCAAGTGCCTGCTTAAGATGAAACCTAACTGATGAGGTGGACGGTGGTTCTGACCTGGTGTCCTACCTAATGTCCTGATGTCCCAGGCATCAGTAAGTACTGAGTCACAGTGGCCTCTGAAAAACCCAGGCTCTGCTCTGTGCCTGCATTTTTACCATTAGTGGTTAATGTAGGGCACACCTGCTTCCCTAAATCACCCTGACCACGCCCTCGCAGGCATGGCTACAGTGTCCCCTACAGGTTAACAAGCAACACACAAAGCTTTGGGGATAAAAACACCTTTTCTAACTTCTTCCAACTGGAAGGGAGAGAAGGGGACCCTTGTGACAGCTTTCATTCTCTTTTCTTTTGAACAGGACTGGCTAAACCAGCATGCACCGGGAGATACATGCAAGGATATACTGTATCCACTCCTGCTGCTGGCCCAATAGCAAGAACCAGTTACCCCCAATTTAGAAGTGTCACCCCCAGAGCAGAGACTACCAGCATGGCATGCACTGCACCCGCCTATCTCAGGAAGGCATCTAGAACTGCTGGGAACCCGTCGCTACCTCGGCAAGAGTGATCCATCTTGTTGAACTGAAAGTAGCCCGACTTGCACTGACACAGCGCGACGCCATCCAGGTCGGTGCAGATGGAGGTCTCTCTGTCACATTCTGGACTCTTCCGCTTGCACAAGCTGCCGGCTGGGATGTGAAAACAAGACAGTGAAACCAAACCAAACCTCATCTTCACACCTTACAATGTACGAACTTGTTATTTCAAGAGGCTAAGAGTCTCTGTGGAGCCACATTCCTCCTCTCAGAGGCAACAGCCTCTGCCACTTGCTTCTGGGTCACACTAGTAAATAAATATCACAAGCATTCCCTACGGAGAAACCAAGCTGAGGAAGGCAAGGGCTCTGCCCAACCTACAAAGGCAGCCTCACTGTGGTATATTCTGTACCTTCACTGGGTGTTGGGGCAGGTAGGTTTGCTGGAACAGACCCAGAAAATGTGACCTTGTTCTTAGGGAGTTAAGAGCTTGGACCAAAAACAACCAGTTTGGGCCAGACCAGTCTCAAATGGAAGCGTGCCTGGGCTCTGTGTGTCCTCAGGGTCCCCAGGACAATTCCTTGTGGTAGAGCAGCTTGCTTTGTCCCCAGTGCGCTGCCTTTGTAGGATTTATTACAGGGACAGGTTTGAATGGTAGTCTGGTTTCCCAGGGTTGGCAGGAAGCTGTTTGTCTGGCTGTCTTCCCACTACAGGGGTGATTTCTTGAGGTTTATTCAGCACTGGGTCTTCAGCACAGAGACCAGCAAGTGAGCATGTGCAGGGGTGGAGGTGGCGGGGGGGGGGGGGGGCCAGGTGGGCAGACAGAA